CTACTTGTTTTTGCACAGTGACACTGTTTTTGCGACGTTCATAACAAAAAAAAAGAAATCTGGAAAACGGATTTGCACTTATATGACTTTCAAGATAAGGCAAATGTTTCAGTGACGCTGCACTCGATGAACTAAATTAAATGCGTTGCCTCTGGATGGCGGGCAGCCGCAGAAGTCAATCATTAACCTTTGTCCACTGCAGCCGCCCTCCCACTTTCTCCAGTGTCCGCGCGGCGCCGTGCGTGGCTCCGATAATGGGCCGAGAGTTTCCGTGCCGCGGCCGTCACCACCTCGACCCATTAGCGGACCGCGGGCCGGCGGGCGCCGCCCGCTCCCACGCCTCAGTCCGAATACACGGCGCGAGGCGCCGGCCGGCTGCCGCTCCGAGCAGGGCAGCGGCCGCCCCGGGCGCCGGCAGAGTCCGACAGACCGGGCGTGTCCCACTGCCGACACTTCGGAGCAGGTTGACGGTATGTGATGAATGGCGGCTCGACGAAGCAATAGTGGTAGATGAAATAAGCTAAATCGCATTGTTAGTAGGTAATACCAGGTGTGGTTTCTTAGTCAATTGCTTGCAACAACTTCAGTTACATCGTGACCAAATTCCCCATGGTTAGAGCAGGCAGAGAGACTTGCAATTGCTGCGCTCATGCTCCGCCGATTCAATGAATGAGCTGGCGGCTGAATGGGCGGCGCCGGCCAGCAGTTGGGCGCTCGGCGCTCGCGCGCCGGCAGTGCGGCCGAGCGGCACGTGTCCGCCGGCACTCGGTCAGTTTGGCGGGCGGGCGGGCGCGGCCGGAGCGCTCCCACCGCGGCCGGCCGGCCGGTTCCTGTGGGAACGGCGCCCGGCCGGCCGGCTGTCGACGGCCGCCGAACTGGGCCAGCTCACCGCGCCACGTGCCGCCGCTCTCTCCCTCTCTCGCTCCGCGCAGAGCCGGAGTGTGCGCGCCGGAAACAGGCCGGCCGGCCGCCGAAGGCCGCGCGGTAGAAATAACGGCGCGCGCGGATCACTGGCGACGCAGGGCGGCCGAGCGGATGGGTGCAAACAGAACAGGTCAACACTTAAGCGTGGTGCCAAAATGCTATTGATCAATAGAATACGTTGGAGTATTTGTGATCCCTAGAAATCTGCCTTTATAAAAACGTGCACAATACGAGAAGCTGCTCCTTCTTGATATGGGAATATTCATTACTTGAAACTAGCCACACGCGATACGCCTAGGATCTCCGACCCTTTGACTGCGTGCACGGCTCGCTGGGCGGCCCATTTTAGCTGCTCACGGTCCGGAAATGGGCGCCGACCATTCCAGATATCTCGGGTAGATGGTAAGCAGCGCGAGTCACCCGGCTCGTCAGTGAAAACCCACCGGCGCGGCATCGCGGCCATTGTCTGTCTCCTGTCATCGCCCACTGACCGGGACTGGGACAGAGCTGACAGGAGACGGACCGGAACTTAAGGCCAGAACCAGAGCTCGGAGAGCAGAACCAGAACCCAGAGACGAGGGCAGAGCCGTCCGGAGACGGACCAGAGCCACCCGCAGAAGGGATAGATCGTCCCGTGACGGGTCTGTGGATCGTCTCCCAGAGGAGGGACGGACCCGCCGGCCCACCCTGACGGCAGCGGCACAATGGCACCCGGCCGGCTGGCCGTTTCCGGACAGCCAGAGCTCGCTGACCCATTTTAGACTGTTGACAGTCACAATGAGGATTGTATCAGCTGGCGGTGATGGCCGGCGCTCTGTCAGATGTCGGCTCCGGTCCCGGACGGCCGACTGTCCGCCGGTCCGCCCCACTGTCCGCCCGTTCCGGTCCGGCCGCGATGGGAGGTCGGCCGCTCCGCGCGTCACTGCCGCTCCGTCCCGCGGCCCGCTGCAGCCGGCCACCCCGGTATGCGGAGCTCCCAGTGCAGCCGCTGCCGGCGCCGGCGATCCGTAAGGCCGGCCGCAGCGCGCGGTGGCAGCGTTCTCAGCAGCACCGTTTCATACACCGCTGGACGCCGGCCGCCGGCGACGGACTGAGCCCGCGAACGGCACCACGCACCGCAGCACGGCAGCGTGGTACGGTACGGTACGGCACGGCACGGTACAGTACGGAACGGCATGGGACAGTACGGTACGGTACAGCACGGCACGGTACGACAGGAACGGCATTGAACGGCACGGCACGCTACGGTGTGGTATGGTACGGAATGCACGCCTGACCATAGCGGACAGCATACTGTGCCGGCGCAACAGAGTGAAGATCCCCAAAGTACCAATGGAGACTGCGGCCACACAACACAGTATCACCACAGTATGGAGACTGCAATACCACATAGCAGTGTATCACCATTACATGGAGACTGCAATACCACACAGCACAGTATCACCGCAGTATGGAGACTGCAACTTAGCACTACACAGTATCTCCACAGCATAGAGACTGGAATACCACAGCACAGTATCCCCATTACACGGAGACTGCAACCCCACACTTCACAGTATCACCGCAGTATGGAGACTGCAGCTGTACCACACAACACAGTATCACCGCAGTATGGAGACTGCAGTACCACACAACACAGTATCACCATAACACGGAGACTCCAATCCCACACAACAAAGTAGGTATCACTAATACATGGAGACTGCAATACCACACAACAAAGTATCCCTTATACGCGGAGACTGCAATACCACACAGCACAGTATCACCAAAGGCGGAGACTGCAATACCACAGTACAGTATCACCATTACATGGAGACTGCAATACCACACAGCACAGTACCATCGCAGTATGGAGACTGCAACTTAGCACTGCACACCATCTCCACAGCACGGAGACTGCAATACATCACAACACAGTATCCCTGATACACGGAGACTGCAATTAAACACTACACAGCATCACAACAGCATTGAGACTGCAATCAAGGCTATAGAACTCCAGGTAAGGACACCAGCCGTTTGACCTTGAACGCCGCCGGCCGGCCGATGACGTCATTGGAGGCAAGCCGGCTCGGCGGACGCATCGAGCGAGCGTATAACGGAGGAGCGTTGGACGTTGCGGGAGCCGGGGAGAGATTTTAACGTTTGCATACCACCATTGTTATGTTGATTGATCTAGACTGCATTCTTATAAAGCTCGACGCATCTTAGGCCTGGATGGTGCGTACATTCGTAGAACGGTCCGACGTCCGTGGTCGAAGCTGTCTACTCTACATGTAACAAAAGACGCTAAGACCGGTGCAATAACGTCGACCCGATCCCGTCCCTGGCGATTCTAGGACTCGTTAGGACCCAGGCCGAGTCTGACCCGTCTATTTTTAGGGAAACGGGGTGGGTGAATTGACAACCGAGTACCGATGGTTAGAATTGATCCCGTCGTCGAGCGATGGTTGATTGACAGACAACACATGTTGTAGTGGGCGGATAAGCATCAGGGATAATGCCTGAACGTAGGCAAGCATAATTGGTCAGCCATATTGTTTAGGAATATAAAATCGTAACGGAGGTCCTTGAGGATATTATCTCTACATTACGAGGATTCACCACCAGTGAAAATTACTACTGTTAAACCCTCGGTCCCAGGCAACTCCGGGGAGCTGCAGTATTCGGCGGCCACGTCGACTCGCAGGTCCTGTGGGCTTCCGTGATGCTTCAGTGCTTCACCCAGAGGCACGGGTAGAGCAGTAGGATGTGGGGTGAGGTGTCTGTACGCCTCTTCATTGTAGGTACGACGCATACAGCGCCCAGTCCCGTCGAAGCTCGATAATCGACCGTGACATACCTATTCTTAATTGGCGGATCCAGGAAGCGGTCTTGAACACATCGGGGGGCATATACCCTAAAAAAGGTTTCTGTGAATTAAAAAAACATCGGATTTTGATTCCTTGCGCACTACTGTGCACCGATCAATACACTTTTCCTCATAAAAGTTGTGAAGTTTTCGTTTTATTCTCGAAAAACGATTTCGGACGCTGCCCCGGATGTGGGCCTGTGGGGGATAACATTTGTCCCAAATGCCTTCCCTTGCATCCGCCAGCGGGTTGCCCCAACCTGAGCTTAACTAAAAACGTCTTAAAATCCCACCAGAGAGCCGAATCCGATAACTCATCTCTGTCTGCCCGTCTAAATTACTACGCACCGTACGGCGCCCAGCCCCGTCGGAGCACTGAACTGGCCGTGATATTTTTGGTTTTCCCCCATCCCCAGCTCCATTAGAAACGTTCTCTCTCCCCATCCAATTGCTCATGATGTCATTTCAAATTCAATACCTACCTCATCTCTGTCTGCCCGCCCATTCATTGCACACCTTACGGCGCCCGGCCCCGCCAGAAGGATCCTAGCGCGCTGAGTGGTTGCCTCCAGCCGCGTCATCGCGAGGCCCCGCGGGGCCCGCAAATGAATACATTGCGTGAATAGCCGTGTCGCCCCCCTGACTGCAATATCACACTGCAGAGTATCACAACAGTATAGAGACTAAAATTTCACATAACACAGTATCCCCATAACACGGAGACTGCAATACCGACCTACTCGGTATCACCAGTCACCACAGTATGGAGACTGCAATACCTACCGCACAGCACAGCCTAATTCAATATACCCTGCAGCATAGTATCCCCACAGCACGAAAACTCCAGCGCAACACTACACAGTAGCTCCACAGAACGGAGACTTTAACTCAGCACTACACAGTATCTCCACAGCATGGAGACTGACATACCACAGCACAGTATCCCCATTACACGGAGACTGCAACCCCACACTTCACAGTATCACTATATTATGGAGACTGAACGCTACACACCACAGTAGCACCAGTATGTCAAGACTGTTGGGGACTGTTATCTCGGGGTATATGGGGATAGCATATGGCCGGGAACTGATACCACGCAAAACATAATGACCAGCAATTGGCGATTGCAATACCGCGCAAAACAGCATCGCCATTTCACGGAGACTAAAGAGACACAAAACACAGCAGCACCAAATCGTCAACACTTGGTTGTACTTACCATAAGGCAGCATAACGAGACAATTGCTTTTGATGTGTTTAACTTCATGTTGTTTTCCCTGAATTACCAGAGAGCGCCTGAAAGAAAACAGCATTTGTTATACACGGCACTATTCCGAAGAAGCCAGTACTATCGTTATCACTTGCCCAATCAATGATATCCGACTGCGAAGGATGATACGATGGAGGAATCAGTGAATGATCCGATGTGGCTTCTCTGTTCCACTCATCTTCCTACAATTTCTCTCTCCCCCCCTCTCTCTCTCTCTCTCTCTCTCTCTCTCTCTCTCTCTCTCTCTCTCCCTCTCCCTCTCCCTTTCGGCGCGGAGGAAGCTGACCGTTATCGGCGGCGCTCCCGGCCCTCTGAGGCGCGCCGTTACCTCAAAACGGCACGGCACGGCACGGCGCCGGTGGCCCCGGGTGCCACTCGATCAGTCAGAACGCGCCAGTCACGCTCCACAAACGACCGGCGAGCGGGTGCAGGACAGGGGTGCGGGGGTCAGAGGCCGCCGACGGCTGCGGGTCAGGCAGTGGGAACGCACCAAATGACCGACATTGGCACGGGGTGGACTTTGGGTCAGCGATGTCAAATGGGTCAGTTATATCGGACAGAGTCGGAAGCGATGGATCTTGAAAGGGTTGGTAAAAATTTCTGAATGAGCCTGAAATTTCTGAATTGACCTACTATACCGTGCACATTGTACATCAATTTTGACGTTTTTAGCGCGAAGATGCGTCTGGCTAAAACTGTATCAGCTATAGTAGCAATAGCCAATAAACTATCGTTGAGAAGTGCTATATTACATTAGTACGTCAAATTCATGTGCGCCAGGCTGTGGGATCGACTCTTGTCGGGTATCGGCTGCGATTAATGCCGCAATACGATTCACTATAATGTCACACACCAGCCAACGTCTCCACAGTAGGTATTGAACGCAATCATGTAATCACTAAAAGAAAGTTGATAAGCATCCAAGCCAACATTTGAAAAAGTTGACCTTGCATGCACATCTTGTTTGCGATAGGCGTAAAAGTAACACCCCATTACCCATAAAAAAGAAACATGCAACAATATGACAGAGCTAGTCATTGTACGTTATTCGTGAGCATGTCTATCCAGACGAACGTGCAATACCTACAACATAACCAAAAGCAGCTTAGTAAAAAAGGAAAACAGTGGCTGACAAAACGCACACTACACTGTGTCGATATCCAATGCTAAGACGTGCCGTCTCACTCACCTGGCTAGGCGTTGTGGGGCGGCCGGGGCCGCGGCAGCAGTCCAGTCCACAGACACACAGCAGCACCACTGGCACTGGCGCCGGCTCTGAGCGCTCCACCGATCGGCTCTTGGAGCGGGCAGCGGGACGGACGGACCTGCGGCCGGGCCGGGCGGCACGAGACTGGATCACCGCCGCCGCCGCCACCACCGCCGCCGACCGGCCAACCGCCGCCGGCGACGGGCCAGCCGCCGACACGCAGCAGAAGAGGCCGCCGGCCGGTAAAATGTGTCGACCAGTGGTGACTTCAGACCGGGAGTGCCAGACACGAGACCAGCGTGCGTCATTACGTAATGACAGAGCTGCCGCCGCTCACGCGTTCTTTGGTATAAGTTCTGCTCTGTTTAGATGCTTTTAAATGGAACGATTGCTGGCATTAGAACTGTCAAATTAGGTCAACTGGCCATTCCAGATAACAGGCGAATGTTTCAGCCTTTTCTATTTAACATTTTGAATGAGAGCTTCTGAAAATCATAGCGAACTCGCTGTACGAGACTTTGAATTGTCAAGGCCCGGTCATGGTCGAGACGATCTTTTATTAGAATTTTCGTTAGAATTTCCGGTAGAGATGAATTAAAAACTCCCAAAATATTTCCGTTCAATCCTGACTTCAAGTGACCCAGTTGAGTTTGTGCAATCAATCAGGAAGTGCCTATTCACCGGGGGTATCAGCATTTTTATGCACCAGGAAAATCGCGGTGTTATGGGCTGAATCTGGTGGTTTAGCGGGACTTCTCAATCAGATTATTGTTGCACGTCAGTCCGACCCCTGCTGCTGGTCAATCTGACCTCTGAGCTTTCCGCTCAGCTGACGCCTGGGTGCGATAGAACAGGATGAGTTGAGACGAACAATGAAACTAACTGCACAGTTGGGTCACTAGCAGCTAAACGTAGACCGAATCCCCCGAGCCCCACTCCGTGAAAACTGACAGTTACAACAGATCTTCCAGCACTTTTCACGACGGAATATTGGACACCTATTTTATCCGTTTGATCCATTTGGTACCTGATAAATTTTAGTAGTTATTTACTTATAAGTTGTCCATATATGTGGGAGGATGAAATGCTTGTTTTTGTTTTGTTTTGTTGGGTTAGGCCCTTTCGGTCGACAAGACCATTGCAGAGCCGGAAGGATGATAGGAATTAGGGGGAGACATTGGTTTGGGCAGGCACCCTAGTGAGTCGCCGGGGCTGAGCCCGTCCAGAGGACAGGCCACCCAGCCCCAAGGCACTCACTGCACCCGGCTACGGGGTGCGCTCCCTCGGGAGCAACGGTGCCGCTCCAAGGGAGCAGCCCGCATGAGATAAAGTTGCCTGTCCAGCCCGGAGGGGGGTTGCGGCGTGGAGGAGAAGGACTTCTGTATCCTGAGGATAGAAGCACGGAACGGTGGATGAAATGTCGATTACTTTACTTTTTCAGTCGTGTTTTGATGGATGCTGGTTTGCGTTAGGTACCTAACCTACCTTGGCGTGTTCACGAGTTTAGGTCCATCGGTTGAACGGCTGCTATCACTGACATGTGATTGCTGCAACATGTGATTGCTGATTAGCTAACACCGACGCCCGATCAAAGTTATCTTCTGTCACCGATTGTCAGGGATCTCTTGCAGCGACCTCTGTCGGACCAATTCGAGTAGTGACTGCCATCTGGTGGATAACAGCAGCCATTGCGCTGGCGCACGGTCAGTGCTGTGGGACGTTCCCCAGCCTCGGTCGCTCAAAGTCAAGAGAACATAGGGCATCAAGTAAAAAGAGTCATGATATTCATCGACAGCCACGGATAATCTCGCATGAATTTTACAACAGCAGAAATCATTCACAACACTATTTATCGCGACGGTTTGTGGACTAAACTGGGTCAAAGTTGGATGTAAAAACATGTTTCTGAGGTTCACGAGCACAAACAACTTGCAATCGTGCAACCAAGAAAAAAATTAACTGGTAGCTTTGTTGGTATTGTACCCCGGGAAAAGCATGCTGTAAAAATCCCAGTGAGTTCACCACCCGACTCTCCTGCCGCCCTCGCGCATCTGACGATGTCATGGTTCACTCCTCCTCCATCTCTCCGACCAGCCAGTCGTGTCTCACTCCTCCTCCATCTCTCCGACCAGCCAGTCATGTCTCACTCCTCCTCCATCTCTCCGACCAGCCAGTCATGTCTCACTCCTCCTCCATCTCTCCGACCAGCCAGTCATGTCTCACTCCTCCTCCATCTCTCCGACCAGCCAGTCATGTCTCACTCCTCCTCCATCTCTCCGACCAGCCAGTCATGTCTCACTCCTCCTCCATCTCTCCGACCAGCCAGTCGTGTCTCACTCCTCCTCCATCTCTCCGACCAGCCAGTCGTGTCTCACTCCGCCTCCATTTCTCCGACCAGCCAGTCGTGTCTCACTCCTCCTCCATCTCTCCGACCAGCCAGTCATGTCTCACTCCTCCTCCATCTCTCCGACCAGCCAGTCATGTCTCACTCCTCCTCCATCTCTCCGACCAGCCAGTCATGTCTCACTCCTCCTCCATCTCTCCGACCAGCCAGTCGTGTCTCACTCCTCCTCCATTTCTCCGACCAGCCAGTCGTGTCTCACTCCTCCTCCATCTCTCCGACCAGCCAGTCGTGTCTCACTCCTCCTCCATTTCTCCGACCAGCCAGTCGTGTCTCACTCCTCCTCCATCTCTCCGACCAGCCAGTCGTGTCTCACTCCTCCTCCATCTCTCCGACCAGCCAGTCGTGTCTCACTCCTCCTCCATCTCTCCGACCAGCCAGTCGTGTCTCACTCCTCCTCCATCTCTCCGACCAGCCAGTCATGTCTCACTCCTCCTCCATTTCTCCGACCAGCCAGTCGTGTCTCACTCCTCCTCCATCTCCGACCAGCCAGTCGTGTCTCACTCCTCCTCCATCTCTCCGACCAGCCACTTGTCCCGCAGGCCCGGCAGACACAGGCCGCGCCGCCTGAAGTTGATCGGGTCGCCCGGCTCGACGTTCTCCGCTCTGTCCAGCCAGCAGAGCAGCAGGATGTCCGCCCCGTGGTCGGGCTCCACCATCGGCGCGCGGCAGCCTTCCGCCAGCTCCCGGCCCATGTCCAGGGGCGGCGCCGGCGGCAGCAGCCTCTCCAGCAGCTGTTCCACGGTAAACTGCTGCAGACAGCTGGCGGTGAGCGCTGCCAGGCAGCTGGTCAGCCGGCCGGCCAGCGAAGCCGCGCTCTGGGCCAGCTCAGTCAGCTCGGCCTCAGTGCGACCGGTCAGCACGTTCATCTCGGCGTTAAAGTAGCACGACAGACGGCGCTGGCCGGCGGCTGCCTCCGCCACCAGAGCCAGCACGGCCAGCATCGAGCCGTAGACGTCCTCCCAGTCCCCCGGCGGGCGCCGCTCCGCCAGCCACAGCAGCGCCGTCTTCAGGTAGTAGCTCTTGAGCCCTGGCAGGGCTCCCGCTCCCAGCGCCGCCTTGCAGTGTTTGAGCAGCACAAAGCAGTCGCGCTGGCGGTCGGTGAGGGCCCGGTAGACGGCGTACTCGTACTCGTCTTCGGCGTACTCGTCTTCAGGTAGTAGCTCTTGAGCCCTGGCAGGGCTCCCGCTCCCAGCGCCGCCTTGCAGTGTTTGAGCAGCACAAAGCAGTCGCGCTGGCGGTCGGTGAGGGCCCGGTAGACGGCGTACTCGTGCCGGGAGAAGGAGAGCCGCCACTGGTGTTCCTCCTGAGGGGTGCAGCCGACCGGTACCAGCAGAGCGGGTGTGGCGCAGAGGGCCCGCACCAGACCGGGCGGCGGCCAGTCAGCCGGCCTGCGCCGCGCGCCGTACTCCTCAGAGGGCCAGCGGCGCAGCGGCAGGCACACCAGCAGGTCACACGGGTACGGCAGGTACGGCCGGACCGCCGTGGTGCTCGCCGGCCCGGCCCGCCCCGGCTCCCGGCCGCCGAACAGCGCCGGGTGGGCCCTCAGCAGGTCCCGGGCCACGGCGGCCGAGAACAGCCGCCGCTCCCGGTGCCGGCACTCTGCGTGCTGTTCGAACTCGAGCAGTACGAATCCCTCCTGCTCAGAGGGCCGCACCCACAGCCGTGTGACGCCAGGGTCTGGGGGCACCTCCGCCTCCCCTGGCCAGCACACGTCCGCGCCGGCCAGCTCGAACATCACATCCAGGTCTGACTTTGTCTCTCCATCAATCAGCAGCACCTGACTGCACTCTCGACTGCTGCCGGAGAGCAGCACACGGCGCACAGCCAGCGCGGGCAGACGCTGACACAGACTCGGCAGGGCGGAGTGGCACCGGCGGGCGGCGGCTGCCCAGCAGCAGGCACGCCACGCGCTCCACGGTGTCATCCAGGGTGGCGATGGCCGGCTCGTGGCCGCGGTTGACAGTGATGAAGGGGAGTTGGAGGGCGGCGGCCACCAGAGCGTCAGGCGGCAGCAGGGCGGCTGGGTCAGGCCGGCCGACCAGCCAGGCACGGGCGGTCTCCTCTAGCTGAGGTACGGACGGCCGGGACCGGGGCAGGGGCTGATCGGCGGCCGCCATGGCGCCGCCACACACGGAGAGTTGGAGGGACCATGGGCTGCACGAGATCAGAGTGGGTATGCCATTGGACCAGAGGGCCAACCGTGGTGTTTCTGAAAGAGTGACAAAAAGCTGCTTTAACCATGGCCCACTTACACGGTCAAAGGCCGACGTAGTGCGTCTGCCAGCGCCCTGCCGATCGTACACGGAAGGCCGACGTAGTGCGTCTGCCAGCGTCCTGCCGATCGTACACGGAAGTATGTTTAGATAACGAAACTGCAGCCGTGCAAGGCCTGCAGCCTGTATTCTATGGATTACTCGAGCTGGGACTAAATGCAATGGATTTACGCCTAAGTAAAATCATGCATAACTTGAAAAGTCACTCCAGCCAGGGCATGTCTAAAGCACAATTGAATCACCAGTAAAAACTGCATGCATAATCAGTAAAGCACCCACGACGGTACACTGCTGCAGTCGCCCGTCTCAAATACCCATGAGTCACACCGTTTCCGGCATGAGTCACAAGCCTCACCAAATTCCAATCTTCCCCTCCCGACACACACATCGCGCAGGTACGTCACAGGGATACTCACTGATCGGGCTGGACACACAGTCACCGCCTCCCCTGCCGTCCGTCACACACTGACAGATCACCGGCCCGGCCCCCGACCAGTCACGGCGCCGCCGCGGCGTGCAGGCAGTGCCGTCCGCGGCTCAGTGCAGAGTGCACGGCCGGGCGCTCAGGGACGCCCGCCGTTCGCTGCAGTCCCGGTGCAGTATCGGCCGGAGCGCCAGCCCCGGCGGGCGGACCGTGTCTCTCGCGGTGACCGGTGTTGAATCACATTTCTCTCAGTGGTGGAAGCGAGTAGGACTGTGTTTTTCTCAGTGTTTTGAGCGGGTCGAACCGTGCCTGGCTTCGAGCCTCTTTCGGTGACCGGAGCGGTTTAGGGCCGAGCCCGTCTCTTGGCGAAGGTAGGGGGTCGGACAGTCCCTCCCACGCCTCCCTAGCAGTCTATGCGTCATGGTCGGGCTCCGGAGGACAATGCTCGCCCTGGCGGTGACGCAGCTGGCCCTGACCGCTGCTGAGGTCCGCCAACAGAGTGACGAGGCCGGTCCGGAGCTGATCTGCTACTACGGCTCCTGGGCACGGCTCCGGGAAGGTGAGTGTGAGGATTGGGTTTCTTACAATATGGGAAGAAGAGCTGAGATGAATGTTAGTGTACGACTCGTGGAAGCGATGTTTAAAAGCTGGTCAAGTGAGCAGTCTGTTACTTGATGTAGCAGCCCATGTAGTAGGGTAGACCGGGGCAAGTCGCCCCGCCGAGGTAAAACGCCTCACCGATGTTTCTCGGAACTGGCAAGGTTCTGGGGAAACATCCTCTCTTCTATAAAACGTGCACTATACGATCATTATATGAGCAGACTGGAAATAAATTGTGATGACTCTTTAGGGAGATATAGCCAAAAATGTGTTTTTGGAGTGATTTTTATGTTTTGTTGTCAGATTATGCATCATGGCGTTCTTTTATCGTCCACATCAGGTTAACGACTTTTATGTATTTTGAACAACTATTGTCTAACGCTTACAATGCCGGGTTGGTTCGTGTCAAATTATGTCTTCCTGGAGTGCAAGGCGTTGTTCTCTGACCGAACTACGTGATGGGGTAAAACGCCCCAGTAGGTCGCGGGGCAAAAAAGCCCCATGGGGCGTTTTACCTCATGTGTTGGTCGGACTACCCACTTCCTAACGTTCGGTAGCTGGCGAACGTTATGTTTCTATGCATTTATATGTACGTAATTTTCTCAGCAACTGGATGGCAAAGGAAGTATTTTGTTAACATTTGCATTGCAATAATTTATTATTTGGCCTTATGAGGCAGGTGAAAAACCTCATACAATAGTGTCGTAGCTGAACACCTGATAGGATGGAAGGTGCTAACTTCAGTGCAATGCCTCACAAGGTCCAACGGACCTTTCATATAAGATTTAGTCAACTAGCATGTTTAATCTTTAATCTAGAGTATGGGGCTTCTTGCCCCAGGCCGTGGGGCGTTTTGCCCTGGGGTTGGGGCAAAACGCCCTATTTGCAGTTGCTTCACAAACCACTTCCTAGCTGGGAGTCCGATCATAAGTGAATGAATTTGAGGGGTGGAAATTAAAGTAAAATGTCCAAAGAACGCATTGAGCACAAATTTGGCCTTCCAGGTTATGTGGAATAAAAGTTATGTAGCAAAATAAATTATCTGGGGCGTCTTGCCCCAGGCTACCCTACTTCAGATGAACGTGCTACTCACCTAAGCAGCATTACATAATGACAATGATGTCTCATCTCAAAACCTCTAAAAGTCCTCAGTCTTCAAAATAGGACAATTAGTCTTCGAAGTTCCCGAAGTCCTCGAAGTATGCTATTGCTGACGCTATGTCCCTCTCCCCGACAGGCGATGGCCGCGTCACCATCGACCAGCTGGACCCGTCCCTCTGCACCACTCTGGTGTTCGCCTTCGCCCGGCTGGACGACCGCCACTGGACGCTGCTACACTCGCTGCCCGACCGGCTCCTCTTCTACCGGCAGCTGACCGGGCTGCGCCGCCGTCACCCGCAGCTCCGCGTCGAGCTCGCCGTCGGCGGCTGGAACGACTCGCACAGTGCCGACTACGCCACGATGGCCGCCAGCGGCGCCGGGCGCGCCGCGTTCGCCGCCAGCGCCGCCGCCGCGCTGGAGATGTACGGCTTCGACGGCCTCCACCTGGACTGGGAGTTTCCAACGGGACAGCGGCAGCGGCGCGACTTCACGGCGCTGCTGGCGGAGCTGCGCGCCGCCCTGGAGCCGCACCGGTACAGACTCAGTGTGGCCGTGCCCGCCGGACCGTACCAGGCCCGCACTTCATTCGAGATGGGCGCCGTGGCGCGGCTGGCCGACCGGCTCCTGCTCATGGCGTACGACCTCCACGGCGGGTGGACGCCGACCGCCGCCGACCACCACGCGCCGCTGCGGCCGCGCTCCACCGACTTCAGCGGTCTGGACGCCGAGACGGCGGTGCGTCTGTGGCGCTCGGCGGGCGCCTCCGCCCGGCAGATCGTGCTGGGAGTGCCGCTGTACGGCCGCGGCTGGGTGGTGGAGGAGGTCGGACCGCCGCCACTGGAGGCCAAGGGGGTGGCGCCGCCCGGACCGCTCACCAAGGAGAGGGGCGTCCTCAGCTACCTGGAGATCTGCTCCAAAGTACAACAACGCGGCTGGACGTCACAACAGGTCAGGATGTGTGCAGAATGGTCTTTATCGGTAGTTTGCATCCAGTTATAGCCGCCAGCAAATCCTCGGGCCTTACGGCAGGGTTCGAAATTGTAGTCTTCTGCCTTCTCCAGTCAGGACAGGGTGAGATTCCCCACTCAAAAACACCTGCCTTTCCCTAGATCAAGAGGGGATGTGTGTTTAGTGTTTACTGTAACCATAAGCCGATCTACAAATGTCGCGGTCAAGGGCAGAGCTGGGAATCCTCACCACAGTCAGGTGCATGTCGGGCAATCCTCCATGGCATAACTGGACTTCACCACTGAGCCATATCAATTCTTCCTTGTTGTAATAGCAGATTGCCCTACAGACCTATAAGTGAAATGATCTCGTTGCTGACCCAATTTGCTTTCGCGTTAGTGAGCAGCAAGATGCAGCTCAAGGTCGGTCCGACCAGTTCGTCGCCACTGCCCCAGTGTCCGCGGCTCCGGCCACCTCTGTTCTTGCATCTCCAGAGTTCAGCCGCTCCTTGCCCGTGAGCTGTTCCTTCTCTAGCTCCGTTTTGCTCCAGACACCGCTAACCCCCACCCTTTGCCCTCCACAGCTGCTGGACGAGGGTCGGCCGTTCGGCTCGGCAGCCGTCGGCGACGGTCAGTGGTTCGGATACGACGACGAGCACATGGTCAGAGAGAAGGCCCGACTGGCCACGGAGCTCGGACTGGGGGGCGTGTTCGTCTGGGACATCGCCCAGGACGACGTCAGGTGAGAATATCGCCCTGCTGACGGTATCGTCCAGGACGTCAGGTGACGTGACGTATATTATCGCCCAGACGACGTCAGGTGAGATATATCGAAAATGACGAACTCATGAGATGTATCACCCAGGATAGTGAATGTCAGGCGAGGGATAATTGATGGAAGGAAGGGAAGATATTCGACATCACTCCTAGACAAACCGCAGCAAATAAGGATGCAGCCATCCCGAAAGTCACCTTTCGAAATCGGCGCCGATAGCGAAGCCACTTCTGGTTTATACCAGGAAGATTAACGAAAAGCTCAAAATTTCTTCGCCGTCCCCAATCCGGTGTCAACTTACATAGGCCAGCTGTGTCTATGGACCCGTTGGAGCGCCTCCCTCAGCCCTATCTGACCGTGTGCCCTCCCTCCGCCCGCAGGGGACTGTGCTCGCCGCGGCCCTTCACCCTGACCTCCATCATCAAGGAGACGTTGTCCAACCTGACGGAGCGAGCGGTGCCGGAGGAGAGGGCTCCCTCCGTCCCGCTGGCCTCTAACAGTCTCACAGAGACGAACTGAGAGAGGCAGAAGTGCTGCCGGAGAGGGCTCCCTCCGTCCCGATGGATTCCAACAGTCCATCCATTCTAACAGCCTCACAGAGACGCGCTGAGCCGGGTAGAACTCCCGCCGACCTTTACAGACATTCTCAGCCCGCACTGGAAGCATAGTGTCTCGTATGTACTCATCGTTATCACAAATACAACATCACGCTTAGTTAGACTCCGGCCGTGTTTATGTGTACTACTATCGTTACTCAAGTCAAATTGCAAGGCTCTAGCATTCCGTGGCCCCCAGAATCCACAAAAATCCTGGCTGTGACGACTGCTGCAGCAGCAGTGAAACCCGGCGTCAGTCGAGTGTGGCGACCCTCCCACCCCAGTCGCTCTCCCGTCCCGGCGACCCTCCCGTCCCGGCCAGGAAAGTCGGTACTCGGCAGATCAGTAGACTGGCAGTCGGCCCGTGACCGGCGACCAGTCGCCTGTTCAGTCTCTGTCAGCCAGCGACCCTCCGATCGGACCCCGCAGTGAAAGGTGCCTATCGGTTGGTTTGGTAATCTGCAAACTGCAACCATGGAACTGGTCGGCCGGGCGGGCATTGATCCATCCCGAAAGCATGGCCGTGTCTATCGAAGATTAACAATCACAATATTCCAAGCTGATTTTAATCACACTGTGGTAACGACGGCTCAAAGAATACGCGACCGATTCAATCTGAAAAGACGGTTCAGAGCTCAAACTATATGCGTATATTTGCCACAGCAGTAAAACAACCTCAGCTAACAGCGTAACAACTCAGCGCTGCCATTGCACAATGCTCAAAGCCGGCCCTCAGAGCCGCCAGATTATGCTGAATTTAACACCGCAAACCCGCCAACCTACTCGCCGGGTCCCCTTGTGCATATGATCGCGGAAGCCAATCTCTATCACCAAAGGAATAATGGAAGTCCGATTGACTTGCACTAATTTAACAAGTGATAATATATAATATATCGTGTGGTATAAATAAAAACAACTCAGATAACACACTAATCTTATTTATAAAATAAGCTATTTAAAAATAAGGCGATTTGATCAAATCACAAGCGGATCACTAAAATAACGCAAGGCACACTCCCCACTCCAAAGCCATAAATATCCACCTGAGACGAAGCGACGGGCCAGCCACCGTAATAGAGCGCCCCCACCACCGGCCCCACACAGCACGCGCTGACCCCAGGTCATGTCACGGGTCACCCACGGCCGTCCGTGCCGCCCGCCGGCCCGCACCAAACGGCCGAGACGGCACGGGCCCCTGGATAAACACTGGACCCCGCGCACACACAAACTAGCGGTCCAGCAATCAGCAGCCTGCTGGAACAGTGCCTACACACAATGCACTTGCATATAAGGCTAAATACTTCAATATCAGCAGCGAATTCGTTGGCCCACAACCATCCTAGTAAAGCTGGAAATAAAGCCCGGACGCACCGGCGGCTGAGAAAAGCACCGACTCAGCGGAATAATACTTCAGCACCCCGCTGAGCTAATTCAGCACAGACAGCCGTCCATGAGCCCAACTGTGCGCTAAACTGGCGTTAAATACAGCAGCAGCTGCTACAATACTCTGAGCGAGACTCGGGACCCTGTCAGCTAGATCACAGACCTAACGTGGACCCACACGATCCTCTAACTCTTCTGCTAACCAAGGGCGTAACGACCTCCGGTCCCGAGCTCCTCTGGCCCTTCTATCAGCCACCGGGCACGCTCACACGTCCGTCTCCTTCTCGGATCGTGTCGGGAGGGCCGCAGCCGCGACCGGGGGCCGCTCGCCACCCGCCTCCGTAAAGTAGGACCTCAGTCTCAGACTATCCTCAGTTAGCGGCCCGTTCGGGGCGCCTCCTCCCGCGCCGGCTCTGGGCTCCGGCAGTTTGGTCGTCTCCAGGAATCGGTCCACGGCCGCGGCGGCATCTCCGTCGGCGACGGGACGCCAGCCGCCGTTGGAAACGCCGTCAGAGCTGGGGATAGTTCGCTCCGGAGACGAAGGTGCTGACGGCGATGAAGGTGGAAGCGATGCTGGAGTGATATTCGGTGACGAGGCTTCTGCCACCGGAGGTACGTTGTGTTCCGATGAAGATATGAAATACTCTGGTGGTGTTACTGTGTGCTCCAGTGACGCGATCGGGTGGACTAGTGGCGATACGCTGTGTTCCGGTGACGCTGAATTTTGCTCGGATGACGTCACTGAGTATTCTGGTGACGTCACTGAGTGTGTTGGTGACGTCACTGAGTGTCCCGGTGACGCTGTTGCCGATGATACCACCGAGTGTCCTGGTGTTGGTACTGAGTGTCCAGATGACGGCACCGTGTGCTCCATGCTGTGCTCCGGTGATACATTCCCGTTAGTGCTCGCCTGGGTGTGCTGTGTCGGACTGGTAGCATTCACTGGCGGATAGTTGTCGACCATTGAAGTCGCCTGGACGGTCCTGTGAGACGGCAATACATACAGACATCAGAGACTGTCTGCTTCAAAAGAGAAAATCGAGTGCAATGCCTTAAATTAATCATAAGAATGGAGTCGGTAACTCTACTAGATTTAAACTAGCTCCAAGCCGGAAATCGGCTATCCCTTCCCAACACCAGCTCCTTGCCGCTATCCGGATATGAAGGACTGAAACCAGCGCCGGTCACTGGGCTGTGGCCGGACTGGCCGGTGCAGTCAGGCTCTGACTGCGCCAGGATGTGGACACTGCACAGCGCTGTGTATACTGGACGGAGCTGTGTGTGTTCTCAGCACACGGAGCGGTCCGTGTCAGGGCGTGACGTCAGCTATGACGCAGCAGCTCCGGCGCACACACACTGCCGACCGACCGACCGACCGACCGTCCGGCCGGCCGTGCAGACCGTAAGACCGGCATACTGATCACGGTGGGGATGAGGGAATGGGGTAACCGGGAAATGACCGGCAGTACATCTGGGCCCTGTTTCACCGGTGATAGCAGCACGCTGCTATCACACGTGTCAAATTGGGTTTCCATGGAAACATCAACAAACCATGGCGTCGTCAAACTGTGTGATCTCATCAAATATTGCTGCTAACATCTTCACGGCCGTGCGATCAAACAAATGTTATCAAACGCATTCAACGAGACAGCAACTCTGTTCAGTCATTAGTGTGACCTCATCACATTACGTCAGCTCGCGCAATTTGATAGTAGCGTGCTGCTATCACCGGTGAAACAGGGCTCTTAGTTACTGCTGAGTTAGGAGAGCAGGGGGTTACCTACGCATGTACGAGTGGGGAACTTTCAGTCATGGTGAATAAATGACAGGGGGATATGGGTAAAACCAGCTGTGCAAACATCACGATGCCTGACACCTGGAAAAAGCTGCGGATATCCACCCGGCGGAGAACCCAGGAGCGGCTAGCGACTACGGGACAGTGTTCGGCCCCGCCCGGACTCGGTCTGTTCCGGCTCTCTGCACCGACCCTCGGCTGGACGGTCCAGCCCTCTCCCCTCCCCTCTATGAGTTCGGGGGTTCCCGGCGGTGACTGGCCCGCCGGCCGGCCGGCCGGGAAGACCGCCCACGCACCGGGCTGACCGTCACGGATCGGCTGCAGCAGCGCCGAATGACCCGTGCAGTCGGCCCTCACCGGGCCACTACCTCAGACAGTCCGGAACGACAGGGGCTCGGAATAACGAACTGATTTAACCCTCGCCCGTATTGGTGTTTTTCCAGCCGCGAACGTATAAGGGGGGGGGGGGGGTCCGTTGGACCCCCCCTTGCCGTTTCGCCCCTGATCGAGCTAGAGCTTCGCGGAAAAAACGAGCGTGTTGCCCGTGACGAGAGGAAGCCGATGATACCCAATTTTAAGGTCCTAGGTCATTGGTTGACCTTGCAGGTCAGGTCAATGACCCCCAAAAGCGGGAAAATCGGGACCTGTTAGAACGTCGTAAAGTGTGGCTTCTATAGGGTTTTTCGGGGTGCTGATCACGAATATCATATTAGTTTTGATCACAGATGATGTCTTCGTGTATTTAGGCCAGGTCGGGTCAGGTCAGGTCAGGTCAACCAGTAAGGGTATTCGTAGTAGGTGGCAACCGCCTCTGACAGCTTCGTAACATGTTACGAAGGCACCAAAACTACTTCGTAAATGTTCATATGGTTGCTAAATTCGAATTCAGCTCCAAAAACTGGCCTAGAAACATGTAAAGCTCGAAAAAGTGAACCGAGGTCATCAAAGGTCAATGACCTGACCTGACCTTCAGGTGACCTTGACATCCACCCTAATGCATGGGAGCAACATCATATCACATGTTTGAACGCTTGAAACCACGAAAAGACTGCAAACGCGCGGCTAATGCGAGCCGACATACGCCGAATCGCGATTCCAGCCAAACATGGTCTCGAAAAATAGGTCACAGGTCAAAGGTCATTTGGGTCAGGGTCATGAAATTTTCAGGGTAGGTGTGAAATTGATGAACACGAGTGTACTGAAAGTTTCGTCGCGATCGGCCGCTTTTTACGCGAGTTATTCGCGAAAAACCATGGGGGGTCCGTTCGACCCCCCCTATACGGGCGAGGGTTAAGTCCTTTCCATGGTCAGTATACAGATCGACTACTCTGAATACACTCATTATCCGCACTTTACTGATACTCAGACTGCAAAACGGCGTTCTAAGTGATCAACCAGAAACAAAAAAATTCCCCTACCTGACTGCCAAACTACACTCTCTCCCTCCCACCCAGTCCCGGGGTACTCACCCTGTGCTCCTGCTGTCCCCTCGGCCGATCTGACTCTGCAGGGCCGTCATCTCCTGTTTGAGAGACCTCAGGCACGCCTGCAGATGGTGCAGCGGCCGGGGCTCGGCACTGCCCGCGCTCTGAGCCAGCAGGCGGCCGATGTGCTCCTCATCCACCGGCGACGGAGCCGGCAGCTGGGGCAGCCGGGCCGAGCGCTGCAGCTCGACTACCTCGCCGCTCAGAGCCTGAGGGCAGGGGGAGTCAGCTGATCGCTGGAGTCGTATGAGCACACAACATCCAACAAGCGACTGGTTCGGTTAAACGACTGTCAGTCATTGGAAAATGCTACCCGCGGCAGTTGGTCCCGAATCTCGATGTTTCACCTTGACCTGGGTGCTGCCCGTTTTCTACTGACCTTGACCTGCGTGCTGCTGGTCTGCAGGGCGGCCCTCAGCTCGGTGACCTGCGCCTGCAGCGCGAACTTCTCCTCGCGCGTGGCGTCCAGAGCTGCGCTGAGCTGGCGCAGCTCGTCTCCAGCCGCCTGCAGGGAGCTGCGCAGTCCCTGCAGCTCCGTCTCGTGGCGCTGCTCGACCAGCGCCGCCTGCTCCCGGAGACCGGTCAGCTCGGCACCCTTCTGCCGCAGGTGGCCGCTCAGGGTCTGTGACGGAGGGGGAGGGATGTTAAAACATGATGGGTCTGGAGGTGCAACGGATAAAGACAAACCGATATCACACGAACAAAGTGGATACAAAGTAGATAACTACCACTCCAGACACTGCCACAGCTGAGCTAATTACAACTCCTAACGTATGCCATTCCATTCCATGCCCACCTCCAGGCACCAGAACACAAGCCATTACGTTTTCACCCCCCCCCCCCCCCCCCCACTCGCCTACCTTGATCTGCTGGGCCAACACGGGGTCGTTGGCGGCGCTCTGCTCCGCCTGCCGCCGCAGCTCGGCCGTCTGCCTCTGACTGCTATCACACGCCGCCTTCAGCTCGGTCAGCTGGCCGGCCGCGGCGGCCAGGTCCCGCTGAGCGGCCTCCAGAGCCGCCTGCCGCTCAGTGATCTGGGTCTGACGACTGGCAGCCAGGTCCTCAGCGGTCTGCAGGCCGGCCTGGAGACTGACCAGGTCCCGCCGGAGACCGGAAACCTCCCGGCGCTCGGCGAACAACTGTCCAGACAGAAAGACCGTCAGGTCGTCAGACGGAGGGTAATATACAAACGAGTAGGCGAGAGAACAATACGCGTCCGCTTTTCAAATGCCAGATCCACTATCAAAATTTGCCCATCCCATTAACCCCCATTACTCTCCCTTATCTACCTGGTTCGTTTAACATTCACTTCATCGGCAACCGACACCTTTAGCAGCTCTTCCCACCTATCTGTGTAGCTCCCCGTCTAATCTCCCTCACCTGTCTGCGCAGCTCCCCGTCTAATCTCCCTCACCTGTCTGCGCAGCTCCCTGTTTAGTCGTCCCACCTGTCTGCGCAGCTCCCTGTTAAATCTCTCTCACCTGTCTGCGCAGCTCCCGGCCCTCGAGCTGCTCCTGCTGCAGCCGCTGCTCGGCCAGCTCCAGCTGCTCCTGCAGCCGGTGCTGCTGCTGCTGCGGCGTCTGCTGGCGCTCCGTCTGACGCTGCTCCTCAGCTCCGGCCAGCAGCGCCTCCAGCTCCGCGGCGCGAGCCTGCAGTGCCGTGTACGACTGGGCCATGCCTGCCAGAACGCAGAGACATGGTGTCAGTCAAGCACGGTAATACAATCAGATGCCAACTCAACGTCCCGGGGGCGGTTGATGCTGACGCGCAGAACGCGTATAGTTTACGAATAATATTCCAATATACGAAATAAGTGCCTACTTTCATTAAAAAGACCGGATAAAAAATATTGTGGATTACGGAGTTTCAGCAAACCGATATAGAACAAAGGCACAAATAAACACATGCATTGGACCATCTCAATCGTGAAAACCGTAGAAAGCTTGGAAGATAAACAAAAAAGTCTCCCTCACCCTGTTCTCCCACCAACCGAGAGAATGAAACACTTTGTCATCTCACCCTCGAGTCTGCCGCGCTCCTTTTCCAGTTCCAGCTGCAGCAGCTGGGCGTCGGCTGCCGCTCCGCGCAGCTGCTCCGCCTCCTGTTCGGCCCGCTGCGTCTCCCGTCGCGCCGTCTCCAGCTCGCGCCGCAGCTGCGCGGCCGCCTCCTCCCGCTCCACAGCCGCCAGACCCGCCTCGGCCGGCACCGGCGCAGCGGCGGCGCGGCGCTCCGCCAGCTCCCGCTCGGCCGTCTTCAGCGCGCGCATGTACTCGCGCAGTTTGCGGGTGAGGACGCGGATGTTGGACTGGTAGCAGCGGTGTCGCTCCTTGTAGGCGGCCTGGGCGGCGGCCAGCTGGTCGGCCAGCGCGCCCCCGCCGGCCGCCGGAGGGGAGGTGGGCGGCGCGGGCACACCCTCCGGCCGACCGGCGGCGGCCAGCTGCTGCTGCAGCTGCCGGTTCCGCGTCTGGCTGAGCTGCAGCTGCTCCTGCAGCTGGCGGCACTGCGCAGAGTCGGCGGCTCGGGCGCGCTGCAGCTGGTCGCTGAGGTCGGCCACGCGCGCCGCCAGCGCCGCGTGCTCCTGTCGGAGCCGCGGAGCAGCCTCGGCCTCCTGCAGTCGCCGCTCCAGCTCCCGGTTCTCCAGGGCGAGCAGACTGAGCTGGCGGCGCAGCGACTCGAGCTCGGCAGACTCCGCCGACTGCTGTTGCTTGCTGCTCTGATCGGCCGTCCCCGGAGTCGGACTTTCCTCAGATGGAGACGCGACCTCAGCAGTAACGGCCTCTGGGGATTTAATCGAGCCCTTCTCCTCCTCCTGCTGGCTGGACTCGCGGTGCAGACTCTTGGCATACGTCTTGACCACGGCCAGCTCGTGCTGCGCCTTCTCCTGTTGTTCCTCCAGCTCTCGGATCCTGGCGTCCCGCTGTTTCACCGTCTCGGCGGCGGCCGCGTGCTGCTGCGCCGCCTCATTGGCCTGCTGCTGCAGCCCACGCACCACCTCCTCCAGCTTCTGACGGCCCTGCTCGAGCACGCTGCGGTCCTGCGTCAGCTGTTGCACCTTGTAGCGCAGCTCGTGGTTCTGCACCATCAGCTGTTTGTTCTGCTCGTTCATGGTGCCAAAGATGTTCATTTTGTCCGTCATCTGTTCCGTTTGCAGTTTCAGTTTACTGGTCTCCTGCAGTTTATCGTTGGCAGTTCGGAGTTCGCTCTCTCGGCCGCTGAGAGATGCCTTCAGTTCCGCGATTTGTTTATCCTTTGTGGCAACGTCGTTTTTCAATTTGTAGAAACTAGCCGAGACCTTCTTCAGCTCGTTGGTGAGGCCGCGCGCCGCCTCATCCACGTCCCGTTTCTCCTGGTTGGCGGAGGCCAGCGCCACCTCCAGGCGCGTCTTCTCCTCTTTAAGTGTCTGTTTGGCGGCGGCGGCCTCCTTGGCCTGCGCGCGCAGCTGGTCCAGCATCTGGCCGCCCTCCAGACAGCGCTGCTGCAGCTGCTCGCACTGAACCGTCTGCTGCGAGAGCTTCTCATGCGCAGCGGCCAGCGCGAACCTGGTCTTCTGACCGTCCTCCTCCAGCTGTTTGTGGGCGGCGGCAGCGGTGGACAGCTCCTCAGCACCCCGCTCCAGGCGCTGCTCCAGCTCAGCTATGGTCAGCTCCAGGGCGCGCGTCCGGCCCACGGCCTCATCCCGCTCCCGGACAGCGGCGGTGGCGGCGGCGGGCGCCGGCTCCGCCCGGCTGCCCGACACCGTCTGGAAGAAGGCCTCGCGCTGCAGCATGTCGGCCTGAATGTTCTCCAGGTGGCGCAGCAGAGTCTCCTTCTCGCGGACTGCGCGCGCCTGCGCTCCGGCCGCCGCCTGGCGCGCCAGCGTCAGCTCGCCGCGCAGCCGCTCGCCGGCGTGCTGCTGCGCGATCACCTCCTGCTGGGCGGCCAGCAGCTGCTGCTGCTGCTGCAGCCGCGCCTCCTGCGAGGCCTTCAGCTGGGCGCGGTACCAGTCGCGGGAGCGCTGCCGCTGCTCGAGCTCCTCGTTGGCCGACTGGACCGAGCCCTCGGCGCGCAGTTTGGCCTGCAGCTGGCGCTGCGCGTCCACCACCAGTTCAGCCACCTTGGCCTTCAGCGCCGACACGGTGGCGTCCCGGCTCTCCAGCTCGCGCCGCGCCGCCTCCAGCGCCGTCCGCTCGGCAGCCGCCGCCGACTCGCTCCGCTTCAGCTCGTCCCGCGCGGCGTCCAGCTCGATGGCACGCGTCTCCAGCTTCCCAGCCGCCTCCGCCAGCTGCGCGTCCAGCTCTCGCGCGCGCACACGCAGCAGGCCGGCCTCGGCGGCCAGCGCGTCCCGCTCGGTGCGCAGCGAGCCGGCGGCGGCGGCGCGCAGCTCGAGCTGCTGGCGGCTGACGGTGTGGCGCAGCTCGGCGCGCTCAGCGCCCACCTCCTCGAGCTCAGCGCGCGTCATCTCCAGCACACCCTCGAGTCGCGCCTTCTGCCGCTGCACCTCGAGTTGCTGCCGCTGTCCGCCGCCGCTCAGCTGACCCTGCAGCGCCTCCAGCTGCTGCCGGTACAGCTGCCGCTCCTGGCTGGCGTGCTGCAGCTGCAGCTGCAGCCGGTGCACCTGCAGCTGCAGCTGCTGCTGCTCCTCGGACGCCACCACTCGGTCGGAGACAGCCGGCGCTGGTCGGCGCGGACCCGGGACCGGACCTCCGGCCTCCACCGGCGCGGTGGGGTCTCGCAGCACGCTGCGGAGTCTCCACAGGTCCTCCTCAAAGCCGCTGATGTCCGACCAGCTGGACTCAGCTGACACCACCGACAGACGGTCATCGTCCTCGTCCACAGCTCCGCCGTCCGGCGCGCCGCTCTCGGCAGTCACCGTGGAGGCGTCTGAGCGCGCGCCGCTGTCAGCCTGCACGCCCCGAGGGGCCTCCGAATCGCTCGGGTGGTGGGCCGCCGATTTCACGTGGACATTGTGAGAAGCCGGCGCCGTGTGTTGCGGGAGGAATGTTTCCGGACTGCAGCCGGTCTCCGCCGCTCGCTGAGCCTGGAGGACCGCCGGGGGCAGCACCTCTTCCGCAGGAGACAGCGGCGGTGAGGACGGCGCCGGCGGGGTAGACATCAACGGGGTACTGCTCAGAGCTGGGACGATACACTCCTCGATGACCTCCAGTTGTCCCCGACTAGTCTGTTTCGGGGTCGCCGATTCCGGGGCTGAGGCGGGAGCGGCACCGGAGTGGGAGTCGCCGTTCGCCGCTTTTACGGAGTGCGGCGCGCCGTTCGGTTCTGATGTCGGCCCCATCTCCGCCGTGTCCGTCCTGCCCGGGGAACGGTCGGGGGCCGGAGCGGGAACGGGGACGGCGCCGCGGCGATCACTGACGATCTGAAGCAGGTTCCGCGGGTACGGCTGCAGACTGCGCCCCTCCAGAGTCTGCGGCGCCGACGGGGATTGAGGAACTGGCGGTGCGGACGGCGGGCCAGACCGACAGAAAATGGAGCTGAGGCCAGCCGGCAGCAGTAGACTGACGGCATCATTGGCTGGCATGAGAGCCATTTGTTGCTGCTGCTGTCCAAGATGCTGGTGAGGTGTCTCAGGCTGGTCACCCTTATCCATGCCAATGGCAGTGACTGGCATCTTCATCAGGGTGTCCTCAGTCAGGTGCGGCTGCTGCAGTGAGCCGGGGGCCGGCCTCTCCACCACTGCGTGGTGCACAGACACCGGCTGGCTACGGCCACCACCAGGCATCTCGGCACTTCTACAGCCACCAGTTCAAACACTGTGGAAAGAAAACATATAAGATTACTTGCTTCTTTGATTGTACTTATTGGCTCACAAGTGAACTGTAATCGCCATGCCCCACATGGATGGTCCATGATGGTAACACATACATACATACATACATAAAAACCGCATCATAAGAATGGTGCTGACCAAATGCAAGGGAACTTAATGCATGATCTCATGAAAACTTATCATGTCTCTCACATATTGTGTCATGTCCATTGCCCTGTTTCCACTGGCGGTCGCAGCCGCTCGCAAAAGGGGGGGCCAAAGTCACACTCGCGGGACATAACATTTATCAGTCACCGGGGGGGGGGGGGGTGATCGGCTAATTTTTTACGTCCACGAGGCGCCACGCAGTTGGCATTACTTATGCTTCATCCACCTCATTCTTGCGTGAAATCTTTAAGCTCAATTTAAGGCAAAAGCACCAGTTCCATTTCCCGTCCCACGGTGTTTCCACCGGTCGGGCCACTGCACCATGGCGACGGATCGGTGTAGCATATACTGGAAGGTCGGGCACGCGGATTCATGACCTTACCACAATAAAACAATTCGGTAAAGTACGGATACCTCTTGCTTTGAACAAGCATGTGAAACCCAGAGATCATTTTCAGACTATGACATTTACCCATATAGTTGTTTGGCGGCGGGAGAGAATAGGTACACCGACCTCTGGAGACCCCCGGCCCCACAGGTTCCTGGTTTTCAAAATTGGCATCTGAGGGCCGCGCACGACTCGCGCGGGGCCTCGCAACGGCTCTATTGGGGCTCACTCAAGTCTCAACCTGCCTTATAGTCCTACTGCTAAAAAGACTGGCCCTGAGCCCTAAGGACTTCATCAGTCTCTGCCAGCCCCAGGACCCACACCGGCTCATGGGGTCCCGACGTCGAAATATGAGGGAATCTGCGCGGGACCATCAGGACGTAAAGTAATCTCGATCAGGACCAACGTACGGCTGTGCAGGAGTCTGCGTGAGCCCTGTGATCTTCAGAAGCCCACCCATGTATGTTTTCACTTAGAGGCCAGCTTAGGGCCCTCAGAGACCAGTACAGGGCCTGCAAACTGCAAAGGCCAGTAGTTTGAGACCATCAGAGACCGAGTTGGGCTCTCGGAGGCTTATGTGGGTCCTACTCATTACAGGCCAACATGGGGCCCTCAGAGGTCAGCGTGGGGCCCTAAAAGACCGGAATGAGCCGTCGTTGGAACCCAGAGGCCAGCAGAGGGCCCTCAAAGGCCAAGATGAGCCCTCCTCAGAGGCCAATGCAGGCCCTTAGAGGCCAGCATCGGGTCTTCAGCAGCCGATGCGGGGCCCTCATTGGCACCTAAATGTTCGTCTTGGGACACCAGAGGCAGCAATAAGGCCACTCGAGACCGGTGTGAGACCCTCAGACGCCGGTTGGGGCCCCTGAGGCCGGTAAGGGGTCCTCATAGGTCAAATGTGGGGCCTCAGAGGTCGATGTGGGCTCTTAGCGGTCAACGTGGGCGCTTGACCGCCACTGAAGTTCCCTCAGAGGTCAGTGTTGGACGCTCAAAGACCGGTGTGGGCGTGTTTTTTTTTTTTTTTAGCCTCGTGACGATCGAATCAGGGCCAGGTTCCCATACACCTATGGGGGCCCATCGGTTGCTTGAGGGGGGGGGGGGGCAAATGATATGATGGCCCCCTTTATGCCTTGGGAGGGCATGGCCCTGATGCCCCCCGCGACCGCCACTGTGTACACATTACATACAGGCCTCTGAAATTGCATACTAGGTAATGCAAACTCTATGCAGGCCCCGGAGATCCCACGCTAATCCTTAACCCTCGCCGGACCTATTGGTTTTCTACATACGCGCCGGCCGAGGGGGGGGGGGGGCGGGTACGACCCCCCCCCCTCGCCGTTTCGCCCCTGGTGGAGATAGCGCGTCGCGGAAAAAAACGAGCGTGTGCGCCGTTACGAGACGCAGAGATTGGTACTCGATTTTAAGGTCCTAGGTCAACCGGTGACCTCTGAGGTCAGGTCAAGTGCCCCAAGGTACGGTTCAGTTTTTGGTGAATAACTTCGCAAAAAACGGCCGCAGAGCGCCGATGTTGGCAGCATCGTGTTCGCCTCGCTCAGGGGCGTCGAATGATATACTTTTTGTGCGGGTCAGGTCAACTTGGGGTGTTGACCTCAGGTCAAGGTCAGGTCAGCACCCCCAGGTCACGAAGTTGGTCGAAAGAGGTCATGTCGCATATCATTCGATTCGGCAGGCCTTCCTGAGTCCATTGGTGGCTTTCCCGACTCGCTAGCTCAATTTGATCAAGAGTTATTGACGAAAAACTAATATGACCTTGATGACGTCACGCAAGGTCAACATTGCAAAAGTGACGCATCTAACCTTGATCAAATCACGATTCTGTGTGCTTGAGATAGTTGGAGATCGTTCCCGGCGCCAGAATAGCAGTTTTCATTTTTCCCCATTGACTTATAATGGTGAGGTCACGAAAATGACCTGACCTCATATGACCTTTAGGAAAAATCCGAGCTATACAAGTTGTGGGACTCATAATGGATACTAGATCCTGCAAGTTTCATTTCCCTGTGACATCTCCTCTGGCAGTGAGGGCGTTGCGAAGTTGCGACATCTGAAGACCGTGTAGACTGTAGAGGTTCACTTATGGCGTCATAGGTCAGTGACCTGACCTGACCTGACCTGACCCAAAAATGCGGTTGGTGTCAAAAGATCCGGCTTGGATCAAAGGTCAGGTATGCCAAGGTTCAGCTCTCTATCGCCAGCGTGTTCGGAGCTATCGCAAAAAAAACCCTAAGGGGGGGGCGGCGGCACCCGCCCCCCCCCCTCGGCCGGCGAGGGTTAAGAAACCAAGCCGGCATACGGCGTCACCACCGGGCTTCTGAGGTGCACAGCACCAGCCCATGAGGTCTTACTTTAGTGTCTTAGAGCCACGCTCCTTTGGCAGGGCCCACCCGCCACTGCCGAAGAGGTCTCACGCCAGCCATTGCTGGGCCTACGAGAGCCTCAAGTAAACCCACGCTGATATTCCATGTAAGATGCGGCCATACTCGTGAACGGGTGCCAGCGACGCTGACCGCCAAATTGACAGAATACGAAACTGAGCCCACTCATGAGTGAAATTTACGTCCTTTGATGGCGCAAGAAAGAAAATGAAACATACAAAAAGCTTTTCTAGGACTTTTGTTCGATCTGAAAGGTGGGGCCAAAAGATAGTATGGCCCCACCTTTCAGCACCAAAGGGGGGGCCATGGCCCCGTGCCCCCCCCCCCTGGGACCGCCAGTGCCTGTTTCAGTATCACAGTCCCTGCCAGCGCTCCGCCAGCACACGTGTCAAATTGGGTTTCCATAGAGACATCAAAAACTTGTATCTCTAAAATAACCTCAATCTGCAATATCAGCTTGTAGAATGCGCTGGCAGCGTGTGGCAGTGGCCGTGAAACAGGGCCCATAACAAAATGGATAACTTACCTACCCAAAAATAACAACCCAAACCACTACATCAATTAAGCCCAGCGCACCCACGGCAACTAACCTACAAATTCAAGCACTGAGACAAATAAAGACGCCAAAAAAACACAAAAATTGTAATAATTTGCATGCTTTGATCAAAAATTATCACGGGTAAAATCGGTTTTTTTACCCTAAACCCCCTAGACCCCGAAGACGTCAATTGAAACACCTGCGCCGCTTACGAACTGCGTATATATCTTTCCCGAGCGAAAAAAACAAACATTCCAGTTTTTTGGCGCTTTTGTTTCAATTGTGGTGGTTCTGTTCGAGGGCCCATACAGATGGTGTTTGCGCAAAATTTGTATCGGAAAATCACTGACTATTTAGTGTCGACAGCTGCATGTTAACTTTTTGAACACGCCTCCATCACTGCTTGTTTATAGGCTGTCTGTGGGTATTGGGCTGTGTTGTGCTGTATATACCGTGTTTTGCTGGGTGATTGTGATAATATTTTGATGATTAACCTCTTTATTCAGCGGTAGAGAATTCTGAAAATTCCAGGGGGTGCTACAACCCCTAATTATCCACCCCTGTTTTTTTATTTTAAGTTCCATCCAGTACCAGTATGAGTGTTTATGGCTTGGAAGGTAGGTGAAACATTTCATTATTGTAATTTTAATCTTTTGAGACCTGAATTTCAACATTCTCTTGAGAGCCTGAGAGCATTCATGCCAAGGTTTCTGAGTCTGTTTCATGATAAAGAGACAATATTGATAATGGAGTCAACTTGTGGGTCAAGTCAGCAGATCTTGATAAATGAGTACGTATGACATCACCTCTACACCTGTCGCCTCCTGTATTGTAGTGATGGCAGGTTCAATGCTGAGTCTCAGAATAATAGCCAGCGAGCGTATACTGTTGTTTTGTATTTCTATGCCCGATCAGCCCTAATATGTAATGTCTTGCATTTCTAAATATTGAACTGTAATGAATGAGACGCTGTAATGAGGCACTGTAATGAAAAGACTGCCTCAGACTGCAAGGTTCTATTTAACCAAATATGACTGCATGTCTGCTACAAAATCAAACACTGACAAACACTGACACTGACATCAGGCACTGACAAAGTGAATGCACAAGAATGCACAAGAATGCCTCACCAAACGTCAAACGATTCAACTGTGGAGGACATTGAAGAGCAAGTGAATGCACAAGAACGATAAGGACTTCTGGACTTCAGAGCAAGAGATACACCCTAAACTCAGGAACGCCGCTGTCACCACATATAGCATACAGCACCCGGTCGTGCCCATCATTAGCCTACAAGCCCCATCTACGAAACCAAGCGCTATATCGTGGGAACCGCACAGGGGTCTCTGTTCACTAGCCGGCGGCCAGGGCACGAGCCGCTGCACCTGGTGGGAAGTCACCCCAGCCAGACCACATTGTCGCACATGCTGCTCCGACAGACAAGTCGCACGCACGAAAGTTCAGTGGCATCGTCTGCTGTGACGTCAGCATTGCGACGCGGAGCCGGCTCTAGCATGGGATGCTATGGGAAAACTGGTGTTTTATTCGGGTCACAATAAAACATGCTATTGATGACTTTATGGGGTGGGTGATGCATAAGTATGATATAAAACACAAACATTTCGTATTTTCACGTTATTTTTAACGGGTAACAGCTACTAAAACATTTCAAAAACGAACTTTGATGTACTTTCTGGTTTAGAACCAAGAAAGAAAATAGTATATTCCAAAATCTAGTGTCGCAATGGTGACGCCAACCTCGACTAACCTGTATGTTTATGGCCTTGACGTCACGCTCCTCGCGCCCAGTGAGAGTCTACTAGTGGCAGAACTAGTGACCCGGACCGCGGTTGGTCTCGATCCGAGTCTGCAGGCTGTGTGGCGCTGCAGCTCGCCGCTGGCCCTCCGCTTGCTGGTAGGGGTGGTCAGCGCGGTCTGCCTTGGGAGGTCGCCCGGCGCTGACTCGGGCGCGGCCTCGGAGGGGACAGCTGGTCCGACGCTCCGGACGCAGCACCGGGATGGTGGTGGCGTAGCGCGCCTTTCCCAGGTGGCGTTGGGCGTACAGCTGGCTCTGCCGAGCTGTGGGCGTCGCGCCTTTCCTCCAGTCGGCGACGAAAGCGTTCAATGCCTTCTGCCAAGACGGTCCCTGGTCCGGGTGCGCAGCGGTGTCCTCCAGGACCGCTGCAGAGACCGCCTCGGAGAAGGCTGCCAGTGACTGGCGCACCTCTTCCAGTGGGTCGGGAGCCGTTACTCTAGACGAGCTGGCCAGTGCCACTGGCGGACGACTGGTGAAATCGTCGCCGCTGTCTGATGCTCCTCCACCATCGGCGGGCTCTGGGGACGGGGCAGCGTCTTCTGCGACGGTGGTTGGGCGCAGCGCAGGTTCCGGACCGGGAGTCCTCAGGTCCGCAAACCAGTCGGGAGACATATCTTGTCGACCTGAAACAAAACCAGTGATTGTAGCTTATTAATGTAGGCATTGCAAGAAACAATAGTTTATCGAAATGGTTCATTTTTGACCGTGCCCTGATTTGATTTAAAAAAAATAGTACCTGCGTCACCGTGTGTTGGTTTGACAAGATGTACATGGTAAAATAACATGGTGTTTATTATTTTTTATCGAGTCATGTTGTGCCAGGTCAGGCTAAGGAGACTGAAAGCCGAAAGGTCACATTGTATGTCATTCGATTGGGATATGTTATCAATTTTTTAGATACACTGGAGATGCCTTTCGCGATAGGTGGGTGACGACACTTTTAACTTAACAAATGACGCCATATTTTAGCGATACTCCAGCCTCGAAGCGTATCGGTGACCTGCAATTCCGTATTTTAGTAGGTAATCTAGGGTTTATATGGATGACAATGATATCCCTTTTAAGACGGAAATCGGGGTTTCAATATGACTCTTTTGCTTACAGTGATGAGATCACGTAACTGGCCAGTTGCCAGACCTCGAACTGACCTCACGAACACAGAAATCAATTTATGCGATCTATTGAGATTACGATTCGCTGTGCCAGGCAATTGACTCACCTGTCGCCACGAAGTACATGAGCTTCCTGTCCTCGACGCTCGCAGTGTCTGCAGTTGCAGAGTTATCGGCCGTGCCGCTGTCGAGGGCCTTGACGGCGTCAAGGTGCTTGCACCTGCCGCCCCCGACATACCCCGGACAGGTGCACATATCCAGGGTGCTGTCCACGGTGTACAGGGTGCTGCCGTCTGTGGACAGCACGCTGTAGATGCCCGGGTTCTCCTGCAGGAATACAAAACGACGATACGCACCAATCAGTCATTGTCCTTTCGTTAGGCAGAGGCAGAGCTGTTTGTGGCGAAAACTCTGTTTGATTTGAATGACTAGCGCAGAATGTAAGGGTGTTGATTTAAGTACCTACTGGTGGAAAAAAACGCCGGGACTGTGAACTGTCACTTGTCCGAGGGAATGAGAAAATTGTGTGTGTGTGTGAGTGTAGAGCTGGCAAAACAGCATCATTTTCATAACCTGTTAAGCGATGGTATTCAATTCCACTTTTGCAGTAGCAGTAAAGCTGTCGTGAGACCGCAGCAGCGCAAGACGACACATGTGAGACCATAACGTAGTCCATCCACGACGATATCTCACCCCGTCGGGAGTGATGCGGTCCCGTGGGACGCTCACAGCGCTGCTTCGGGAGCCTCCCTGACGGGCAGCCGGTGGTCGCCGTCCACTGGCGAAGCTTACGAGCTTTCGCTCGTAGAAGTCGCTCAGTCTGAGGCTGAGTACGTCGTGGAGCTGGAGGACGTCGTAGAGCCGAGTCCTGGGAAAGACACAAAATCACCCTCGCCGTTACGGACTTTTTGCCACCCTCGACGGTGCATACAGGAGGTAGAGAATCCATGACGGGTGTGAATTGATGATAAATAACTCAAGTTTATTGGAAAATGACTGAGTTATATGACTTGAGTGAAAAAGACTTTCAATAAACTTGGTTATGTATCGTCAATTCACATGCAGGACTTTGGACTTGGTACGACCCCCCTCCACACACACACACAGCGCAAAATGACCTCGCAGTTGACGCGCCCTAAAACCCCAAACAACAAATCACAAACGCATGCACGCACGTACAGCATAGCACATCCATATACCCTTCATGACACAGAAGTGATGCACCCCCCCCCCCCCTTCCCCGGTGAAGACTAGCAATCGATCGGCAGATAGCAAGGTAAAGGCGACAGACGGGACAGGGCAGTCAGCAAACGAGATAAGTAGGTAAATGATTGATAAGTTTAAGTTTGTTTCATACGCTAGCATTGAGCCGAATCAACTATTTTCGAGAGAGGGGAAGGTGATAACTGATAGTGGATAGATGCCTTACTTAATTTGCGCTAGAATGTCTTAAGATTTACCGGTGGAGGACGTTGTCCTTGAGAACCCTCATGGCAGCCTCCACGGTATTATTTGTGTTGTGGCCCCGTGTCGGGAGGCCAGCCCTGAAGCACAGGGCCCACTCCTGCCGCCGATCCAACAGCGCCTGCTGGTAGGCGATGAACCGCGGGTAGAGGGCACCCCACCGACCCTGCAGCGTCTCCATGGCCTCCGCGAGGCCACGCTCCGATGGTGCGTACACCATCTGCTTGGCCAGCCTCATGAGCTCTTGTCGATGCTGTGAACACAGATCAATCTGTTCAGGCAGGCAATTGAATAGTCAGACATTCATGGTGATGGGAGAGGTCGGATTCTGCTTGGCGAAACACAGATAACTCCAAAAACAGATAATCCAGAATTGTGGACCGAAACCGAGCCATGTTAACGGTTCAGGATCCTAACAAAATGTTTTAGCGTCCCCAAAATCTTGCAAGAAGTGCCGCCTACGGCCTCGGCATCGCATCTCTGGTCTAACGTGTGATCCGTAAGTGACCATTGCATTGAACAATAAGTGAGCATTTACCTGCTGCCTGATGCCGTTTTTGTGGCTAAACAGCCACCTCCACGTGGCCTGCAGCACGTGAAACACGCACAGGAGTCTGGTCGCGTCAGGCCAGACCGAGTGCAGTGCGTTCCGCTCGCTAGCGCTGTCGTCAGTCATTAGGATCTGCGGCCCTGCTGAGCCACGGCCACCGAAAGCGTCTGTAAAACGTTATCATCGAAATTACCATGTGAAACCGGTTGCAGGCCTCGATTATATTATTATTGAAAA